AAAATTTATAGCATGAAAACTATAACAAGCACAAAATGGCTATGAGGTTGGTCCCAGGGACTGAGCCCGGGTTGAAATAGTTAAGAAGTACATGTCCAGAGACAATGTTTGGAGGATTGGACACTGGGTTAAATTCTTCATCTTTATAGTCATAACATTGCAGGAAAGTGAAAAAGCTTCACCCTGTTAATTTATAATGATGTATGGGGCCCCACATGGGTTTAATTTTGAATAGGGGCATCTAAAATGTTAATATGATTTGAATCAAGGTAACACATGTTGGGAAGTCTCCAGTTATAACATCTCTGAGATTTAGATGAAGTTACAAGTATAAAATCCATTATGGAAAGAATGTTTAAACTATATGTGATATTTTTGTTTCTAATTAGAATTTTCTATTTTTTTAAATTTTATTTATTACATGAGTGCCTTCTCTGTCTAAAGAAATGAAACAGTACAAAACTGTACATGTTTGTGCATTTTTTGAATAACTATTCTTTAAATACTTATTATAACTTTTATGGCTTGAAAACGGTCAATTAATAAACAATTTAGACCAATTAATAGATATAACAGTCAAACTGATTTATGGCATCTACAGAAGAATGATAAAACAATAAGTAGATGTATAAAAATAATGGGTAATTAGAAAAAGTGAAATGAGTAACTCAGAATTTCATTAATCAAAAGTCAAACTCATAAAACACTTTTCCTAAGGTTTGCTGTCAGATCACACATCATTGCAATTGTGGTTAAAGAGGCATTACCCAAAACTGGGTTCTAAGAAACATAATACCAATGATAATGAAAAAATTGAACTCAATCAAAACTTTTATAAAAACTTGACTCAGTCTTCATTTGATTAGTTGTTTAATTTTTTCATGTAACACAAAGGAAAAAGAAAAACACAACATTCATTTATTTTTGAATGTATTTATTCAAAAAAGAACTATAATTTATGATGTGTATTGTTTCACATCATCTCTCCCACTTCAACCTGTCCTTCCAAAGTTCTTTCTGTGTTGGTATGTATAGAGGAGTCACTTCTTAAATTTTGAGTCCACTGTGGTTTCTGATGTCATTGTAAATATGTTGCATTAAACAATATCACCACTTGAAACTTCATCATATATGAATAGAAGGTAATATTACATGTATTAATGAAGTTAATATTAAATATATCTAATTCAATTTAGCTACTTCCAATCTTCTACTGTTGGTGACTTTTACACATAATTATAGCAAAGAGGC